AATGGTGAGTGTGGGATTATCTCCTAGTACTAGCTTCTAAAAATGACAGATTTAAATTAGAGGAGATCAGACATTTTGAAGCACCATGTGTCATAAACCCCAAACCTTACTTTCTGACATTGTGGTAAACTTTACAGAACAATTGTCCAAATACTCAAAAACGTTTGCAGTTGCTTTTGGAAGTGTCATATCAGTAATCAGTAACTTACTTAACAAATCATTAAGTGGCAACTTTGATATCACTATCAAAATCTGAAACAAAACTTAGAATCAAGAATCTGTGATTCCTGACATTCCTATGTATATCATGCCTGTATAGTTTTAATTGTGTTGTTCTGAAGGGAATCATACACTGAAACTCTGATTCTCTTAAGACTCCAAGTCTTCAACAGAGACCTAATTAATTCTTTTTTCTGGCCTTAGAAATACATGATAGACAGTGTTGTGCAATGTTCTTGTGTTCCAACAGTACACCTGTAAGTCAATTTCCATACTCTGGGTTTCATTTTAGCTTGACCTATTAAAAATAAAACAAAACTGTTTTTCCATGATGGTGCCCAGAACCATTAATCATCCTTGGCAAGTGACAATTTCTCTGGAAGTAATTTCTTATATAGTGCTTTTTTCTAATGTTTCAAGGCAGGTTTTCCAACTGACATAGTTTCTTTTACCTATTTAATAAGGTTTCCCTTGCCACCTCTTGTCTGAGACTTCTGCTGTCTCTTTATGGATGGTAATATTTAATGCTGAGAAACTATTTAATAATACAGTGCTGAGAAAATATTTAATGCTGCATTCCTTCAGTGCTGAAGATGACTAGGCTGTTGTTGTCAAGGTGATAAGGCAATAGGAATTCCATTGAAAAAAACAAAAACATAATCAGTCCTAATATTTTATGTAGGTTTCTGAGCTAATCTAGCTCAGTGCTAGGGATACTGAACAAAAAACAAATGAAAGAGACATTGACTTGTGGTTTCATAAAGCAGGTTAGCACAGAGCTGGAATTTGACCCAAGATCATTTGATTTTCATACAGTGATGTTGTAAGTTGATGGCTATCTATAAGGAAATATTTCAAAGTACTTTACGAACTGCGTAAGACGAACTTCAAAAGTCTGAAACCAAGCTCTGCTAGTGATATCCATGGAAAATTTTAGCATTTTGCTGTTGGACAGGAAGGTAGGACTGATCTTGTTTTTAACGTAGATTTTCTAGGAAGCAGGCAGGTTGTAGCAAGCATGCAAGTCCCTTGGCATTCCTATGTATAGGTTAGTTTACTGGCTGTACGAAATGAAATTGCAGGCTCTTGAGTTTGAATTTCCAGCTCAAACTGTGGAAAACAAGAAGCCTAAGGGAGGGAGGGGCAGAAAGGAGAAAGGAAGATGCAGCAGGATATGATAATTTGCTAGAAACAGTAGCTTTTGTACAGCGTAAACAATCTCTTTTAGCTTTTTACTGTGCTGTTTTCTTTACTTTCCCCCTCACACACACATTCCTGAGGGGCATAGGAATAATATTGCATTTTGAGTAGCTGAAGTAGTTCTTAGTGGAAAGAAATGTGCTTTTCATTGTACTTCAACATTGCCTACTGTAAACATACATTAAAGCTGTAAGATAAGAAGTTCATTGACTTACTGTGTAATTAAGGTAAGCCTGTGTCCTTCCTAGAGCAATATGAACAACAAAAAATATTGTATTTACAAGCTTCTTTATGCACTTTGAGGATTGACCCTCATACCATTGATTTCAAGGTAAGTGGTACTTCTCATTTCTTGATGGCCACATCTCACCCTAGGCCCTGTCCTCCTTCTGACATCAAATTATGCTGAGGAATAAGCAGCTAAGCCACTGAACAACAGAGTTAGTATATTTCTGGTTGTCTCAAAATGCAGCCTTGGTAAACTAGTTACCTATGGCATTTTATCTTCTACATAGCACTGTCTGGTTTGATTTGTTTCTGTGTAAACGTAACGTGCAAATTCTGTGCGATTTCTGAAGTTTGCCTCGTTACCCTTCTGGTTTCTGCTGAGACATTAATCACTCTTTTGAGGAGTAGTTCCTTACTGATGAGGAAATGAGTTGATTTTGCAAGGCTTTCTTGTTGATGGCACCTTTATTTCACCGTGAGCTGTATTAAACTGAGCCACACACATGTGTATATATATATATAAAATGTTGCATTCTCTTTGCTGTAGTACCAATCTAAATATTTTGCAGGGACAAACCCTGAGTTAGGAAGAAATAATTTTAGAAAAGGACTTTTCTAAATTCACAGAAACTTGTTACCTTTGTCATTTATGGAAATAAGTTCTGCAAACCTCTGAAAAATGTAAAAACGTGGAATTGTTGGGCACTGTCACATTTTGCCTAACAATGAAGGATGAGAAATGTCATGCACCTAAACAAATTTTACATATGTATTTGAATTCTACTTCTCTCTGGGCAACACTTAAGTTATTGGATGCCCTATGACTGATGGTTTTTGTCATGCCCATGTTATGGCCTGCACTATAAAGTTTTGGCTTAATAATTTGTTTAAATAGGCGAAATCATCACATAAACAGGAGATTATTGTGATTTTGCCATCAAATTCTTCCATGTGTATAATTTCATTTGGGGAATTGGCTTAAATATACCTACAAAATGATTAATTTTTTTGCATTAAAAAACCGAATACAATTATGAAGATGTTATGTAAATTGCTTCTGTATTTTTAATTTGGATAATATTTAAAAAGTAAGCACATATGTAACACTGATATATTCAACCGTACACTGTGACTTATGTCAGTTTTCAGAAACCTTTGTTATGAGTATAAAATAAAAGCTCCAAGTAAATTTGGGGATTGGCTTAGAATAAAATGCGCTAAGTGCATTTGTAAAGAGAAAAGATACTGTAATTATAGCAGCCACTATAATTATAGTGGTTCCAAAAACCCTGCATCATCAAGACAGAATAATATTAGGGAAGCTTCTTCAAACACCAAATTGTGTTTAACTAACGTGTATGTTCAGGGCTCATAAAATTGTGAGCACTTTTCTTTAGGGACTTGAAGAGAAAAAAGATTATAAAAGTTCTGAATTTCTTACGTATAAATTCTTCTGAAGTTGAATGCAAGAAACACTGTTCTTATGCTGGAGGACTGGGTAAGATTCTTGATAAGAATGTATGTCATTGTGTTATATGTTCTTGTGCTTTTCTGTGTATGCCTGTGTGCACGTGATGGACTGTTGAAGCTGCCCTGGTAACACCCATTTAAAATTGAATTCTTCTATGGTTGCCAAGATCTTTTTTATATACCATAACAAATAAATGTACACTTGCAGGGGTGTGAGTGGCTGAAGCTGCCATTGATCAAGCTGGTATTGATCGAGTCAACACTACGAGCCTTGCAATTTTGAGGTGAGGAATGGATAGCATTGCTGGAATACTTAACTAAAAAAAAGGTAATAGAAATATTAATAAAGAATTGCAAAGGTTGGATGTTGTTTAGAACAAAACGTAGCAAAATGGTGGAAAGCACTGCAGCAGAAATATCTTTCTAGCAGCTGATATTCTTTTTCTCCCTATCTTTATCAAGCTGTCTTTTCTTGCTCTTGGGAAACTGTAATGGACACAAAAAGGAATTCTGCATTTTTTGTGTTTTGTTTTGTTTTGTTTTGTTTTGTTTTCCATTGTTTTCCAGCCTTTTATTCCTTCTAAATTAAGTCCCACTCTTTTAACCTGTGTTATCTGTTGCCTTTTCTGTTGCCGATGCTTTCTCACCCAGGGCTGTCAGGGAACTTCCTTGCGCTCCTTTAAAAATGTTCCTGAAGAACAACCAGTTCTGTGAACTGTTTTCCCCATAAGGAACACACCCTGTATGTGTTTGTTCTGATTTATCTTGCTCTACTTTTGTACTTTGCACTTTAAGCTGGGGCAGGGAATATTTGTTGTATCAATACAGAAATGATGTCACTAAGACAAAGACTGGCATGTGGAGGGTTTTTTCCCCCTTTTTAGAAATAGAAAATATGTGCATAACATTTATCAAAATGTGTGGCCGTGGAAGTTACTCCTATTCTTAGGGATAATACAAAGGATACTTAAAATGTCCTTTGTCAGGGAAGTAGAAACATTTTAAAATTAAGTATTTCACACAGATTTTCCTCCTTTCCTTACAAGAAGAAAAAACAAAACCAAAAACAAAACCAAAAACAAACCAACAAAACATTATGGAACCATCCAGTGTAACATATTACATGCAACAGCTGTTATTCTTCATTGTTATTGTTAATAAGAAAGAAGTACAAAGTATTCTATCTTGGTTTATGGAAATTACAGTAACTAGATAGAAATGCCTTATGGAAATAAGCTAGTTACTTGACTCAAGGTTAGACAGGGTATGAGTATTCAAATCAAGAGAAAAATTAGGATATTTGGATCTTAGAGTGTCCTTGATTTAACCCACAGGGCTGTACTTCTACTCTGCTTGATTATTTTGGATGTTCTTATCCCTTTCACCAGTGTGTATTGATGAAAATTTTCAGCTCTGAATTAAGTCATTTAGGACATTTATGGTGAACTTACCTATACGAAGATGTATAAACTATATAATGTTCCTTTTTTTTAAACTATTTTTTAGGGGTTGTAGTTTGATAATTAAAGATATAGTTGTCTTAAGACGTGGATTCCAATTTTTCTGCTATTTGAGATTATTCAAATCAAGCCCACTTATGGTCCTTCTCAGCCCAGTCATAAGTGATAAGACAGAATAGTATGAGGAGCTTCTGTCTGGTGATTACTATCTGTGCTTGCAGATTTGACAGCTGGATGGCTGCCTAGACTAACTTACATCCTGTGTTAATCCAGGCACAAAAATAAAGATAAATAAGTCATCTAGAACACAGATAAAGTCTTCTTTCAAATTCAAGCCATCTGTACTAACAGATACTGGTGTTCACTCATATGGCACAGCCTGTACAAGCTAAGGGCTGTTAAGTGGTTTCCAGCAATAAATACCCTAAACATGAACATGTGAAAGGAGACAATGCTTACCAAGTTAATTTGTATAGTGCTTTCCCAGTCCTTCTCATTGTTCACTCCAGCATTATTTACCACAATGTCCAGCCTTCCAAAGTGTTCAAGTACTTTTTTGAAAGCACCTATAGTAAGATTCAAGAGTAAAGTTTCTTAGCACTTATGGAAAGTAATAATAAAAATGCAATGTATGCATAGAAACTGATGTTTTGTTAGTCCACCAAAATGTCTTCACTGTTTTCTTAACCACTAATGTTCTACATGCAGTTGAATTCCTTATCTAACCTTTCACTGACATTAAACTTATTCAGGAAAACTGAAAAGATTAAGATACCGTGGTGGCCTTTTCATTCAGTTTAATAATGCCTGATAACAGGAGCTAATGAAAGTTCATAGCACACATGCATTTTGCATGAGATAGGATATTTGGCACCTTAATTATATAAATAGAGCATTTATAGCTTTATTTGTAACATTTTGATATAGCTGGTGAATTCCATATCTGGCACCGTCTACTTTAAAGGGATAATAAAAGCTCCATGTGTTCAGAACAATTTGAGTCTGAATTTAACATAAGAATTAAATTTTTTAGAGACATAACTAGCATGAATCTTTAAACTGGAAATAATTTATCGTAGTGCTTGTTTAAATTTATCAATTTATGAATAAACTGTTATACATTCTACTTGTCAGGTAACTTTAATAATGTGGTTACCAAACTCAAATATTTTTCCTTCAGTTTATGAAGACAGCGACCTGTCTTCCAAAGAATTTCAAAATAAAGAACTCTGAAACTGCCACAACGACAGTGTTCTCCCAGGTGATCCTTTTCAAACTATGAAAAAAGATGTGTATGGAAAAACATGGTCAAATCATAGTGATGAACCAACTCATCTAGGCTGCTCCTGCTTTGACAGGAAGGTTGAATGAGATGACCTCCAAATGTTCCTTCCAGATGTAAGATTTCCCAGGACAGCAGACATTGTTTGACATGTATATACAGCTTGTTTGTTCTTCCCTCCAAATATTCTTCCTCATCACTAAATATTTATTATTATCTAAACCAAGACACACACACACACCCCACCTCCCAATATTGTTTTAAAACACTGGTGACTGAGTAAGAATCTAGAGTATTTGGGGTATATTGAAGTTATGTTTGACAGGCCTTAATGAAACCACTTCACTAAAAGGTGGTCTTAATTGGCTGTTAGTGTCAATCAGGAATGTAACAACAGTTTTGAGACATCTACCTTTTTTAGCAGCAGTTGCATGGGCTTACAGTTTTTTCTTGCACCAGATGGTGGGTACTGTTACAGCCTTTTCTCTCTCTGAATGCTGCAGGTCCATCACAGTCATCATCTTGTCATCAGAACAAGATCTGGGCAGCTGATGGGAAAGGTTTCGTTTGTCCAGCTGCCTCTACCATACAGATTTTTTGAATATTCTTACTCTGTAGTAGAATATTTTAATATTACTAAAGCCTCTCTTTTTGGCTATCTGCCTTTTAGCTTTTGTTATATTTATTGCTAATTCATTCTCCGGTTTCTCAACTTAATTCTTCAATCACTTCTCACCTTTCCAGTCCTGCATCAGCAAGGGCAAGTGGAAAGCTTTGGCTCTATTAGGAGCAGAATTGATTATTTAACTTAGTTTCAATGAGTAAAATAAATACAATTTTGATCCTAAATTAACTTCCAAGTTTTGGAAACTGGCACTGATTCTCTTTTAAGCCTTCTCTGAACAACATCTTTCATCAACCTCATTCTTAAGAGAATCTTTTCCATTCAAAAACCACCATGCATAACAGTATTCCTGCCAATTATTTGTTTATTAAATTCACATTGTCCTGACTAATTGTAGTTTTCTAGTTTATACATTGAGAAAAGAGCCAAATCCTTTTCAGCTGTTTGTGTATCCATGTTAAAATAATGAATGGTTACCAAATTTGGGATATTTCTGGTAAAGGTTTACCTGCCTACCATAATCCCATCTATTACATAGCCACAAAAAGAGGAACCTCATTATAAGTTCTTGATAAAGTTATCGCCCACCTATCAATTTAAACTGACTTGATCTTCCTTTTTCAAGTGTAGACTAGTTCTGTCTCTACATTGTATACTGGTTAGCACTTATGGAATCATAAAAATTAAAAGCAGATGATCATACAGACTGCTGAATGAAGAAAAATGAAAATTTTAAAGGTGAGGTAAGAAAAAGAGTGAAAATGAAAAATTAAGGGGAGGGTCTATTTTAAAGGTGAGGTAAGAAAAAGAGTGGGAAGTAGTACAAATGCAAAGCCAAAATAAATGTATGGTGATTTCTAAAAAGTGGGACAAGATAGAAACTTTTGTAAGGTACTGTGTGAAAAAGCCACCAGAGAAAAAAGCACAGGCAAGATCTGAATCTAGATCAAGCAGCTGAGTTCCTATCCATAAGCACCATCTAGTTCCAGTACTGCGACTTGTTTCATATTGAAAGGGATAAAGTTAAAATAAGTGGAACTTCATTCATGGACGTGACCTTTAACATAAAGGGCAAATACAGACTTGATGCATCTGCTAAGAACTTTAAGCACAAAGAGTGAAATCAGTGGTGGCTTGCAATTACAAGCAAAAAAAAAAAAGGATAAAAAAAGATAATAAAGCAGTAAAAAAAATCGCCAACCAACAAAACCACTGAAAAATACCCCAGAAACCCCAAATGACTGTAAAACATGACTGAAAATTCATTATAAGAAACCTGCAGCAAGAATAATGCAGTATCAGAGAAGTCAAAGCAGCTGCTGCCCATTCTTCTCACTCCTTGTGACAGCCTGTTCCCATCCTACTCTGGTCTTTTCCTACTACTGGTTCCAAAACCTCTTTCTCTGACCCATCCTGTTCACTCCAGTTCTAAGTGCACACCCTGTTGGTCCTGAACTAGCCTGGCACTGACCAGAAGGGGAATCACGAGAGAGAAAGCAGACTGGGCTAACAACCATGCTGCAGCACACGCTGTTCCTACCCTTAAGATGCTTTTTCTTGCTCCTAGGTTAATCCTACCACTTGGAGAAAAAGTCAATAACCAATATAGCTGATAAAAATTTTGTTTGCTCATTAGAGTAGGTCTCAAATTTAAAGCCCAGCAGATACACGATGTAAAGTTTTGGAACTGGGCATAATGATGCTAGCTCAGAGCATTGAACAGTATTGCTGAATTCTGGGCTAGCTGCAATACTTTTTGACAAAGGAATGGATGTGCTCAATGCCACTGTTGAGAAAGTGTACAGTAAACTGTAGCGAATAAAAGCCGAACTAAAAATATTCACATTTAGCCTGACAGAAATCTGGGGAAAGGGCACTGACAAAAGTGATGTCAAAATCTGAATCTGAGTCACTACCTATGAATATATATCATTTAGTAACGAAGCTTTGATGTAGTGATGTGCCTGTTATAAAGTTCTGATTGAGGAGTACATCAGCATTATATGATACTTTAAGAACTCATTAGGGAACCTGATTTATTTACTAAGGGAAAACAAGTGCAAATGATACATGAGGTAAGCTCCTTGACATTCTCTGCACGTGCAAAATGTGTGTGAAATGTTATCGTTCCCTATCTAATACCATCATAAAGCAGTGTGCCAATTCTTTCAGCTGTATGGGGAGAGCACTACAACCCAGAGCAGAATTTGTTATTCCTGTGATGAGAGAATGCAGCTTGGAGTCTGTAGTGAAGCCTCATAAAAAGCAAGTCTGTGCTTTAAAGTTTCTCTATATTACTCATAAAATAACAATTATCTTCTGCAGAGGCTTTCACGCAAAAGTATCACAAGCAGCACTCAATGGAAATTATTTCTTTGGCTTTTCCTTACAATGTGCCAACTAACACGGTGAAATACAGACGTACTGGTAGCAATATTTCACATCTGCAGGTTCAGAAACAAATCCTTTTTGAGTCACTGTCAGAAGCGATTGGGAGTAGGCTGTCCTCCAGAAACCATGATTGCACAGTTATTGGTGCAGCAGCCCGGGCTCGCTCAGGTTGCTGCATGTCAAGCCGGAGCCCGGCGCTGACAGCTTCCTTCTTACCTTTCAGCTGCTCCTGGTCCGTAACGTCGCACTGGATGAACACCGTCCTCTGCGCTTCAAACTGCTCGTCCAGGGCCGCCTTGCTCTCCCGCCCGGCCTCGGAGTTGCGGTCCAGCAGGGCTACCTGAGCAGAGCGGGGAGGGAGGGAGGGCTGAGCGGCGG